TCTTTTCTTCTTTTCAGCATAATTAAATTAGACCACCTTCAGAATCTTGAGGACTTATTTTAAAGGAATGAAAATAAATATATATTCATATAAAATGACCTCAAAATAAAAAATAATAAAAGATACGCAAACAGTTTTTTTTCTTAAATAAGAAACTTCAGAAATTGAATCTAAATACATTCTGGTTCTAAAAAACTTCTCGAATGTCCCAGAGAAGCAAAAGAGAGACACTGCCACCAGCAAAACCAGACTTAGATGAAAGGGTCGAAAAATGCTCTCTAGTTCCAAAAGATTAATAATTGCTAATGACATATGCAAATTTACATAAAGGTATGTGGATCGTTGTTATTTGGGTGTCCTATTAGCTCTTCTCAATAAAAATGAAAGAGAATCTAAATACATGAATTGTCGCTAACATTGTCCTAACCAAGCTAGAAACAGATAATGTCAACCACACCATTAGGTTACACTGTGCCAGTTTCCAGTAAATCCACTTTGCCCTTCTCCCACAAATAGCTGTTATGTTACCAGAAACAGTCTTGCCTGTTCTTGAAATTCACAGAAGTTATATATAGTATATGCTTTCATGTCTCTGATATTTTCTTTCAGTTTAATACTTATTTGGATTCATCCATGTTGCCATACTTGCATATAACAGTAAACCATTCCTTTACGTTGCTGAGAAGTATATCATTAACATGAATATACCACAGTTTATGCATTCTCTTATTGATGGGTATTTATTTGAGTTACTTTAGTTTTGGGTTATTATGAATAAAGCTGTTATACATATTTTTGCCCAATTCTTTTGTAGACTTTTCTCAGATAAAGTACTAGTGGAAATGATGAATCATACATAGAACATGTATAAGTTTAACTTTATTTTAAAAATCACATGGTATTCCAAAGTGGTCGTATCATTTTTACACCCACCACCAATATTGAACGTGTCAGATGCTCTACACAGTTGCTGACTGTTGACGTCATTAATCTTTCACTGTCTCTGCTTTAGTGGGTATAAAGGAGATCTAATCAGAATATTTTTCCCCTTATAAAAATTTTTAGTTTTCCCATACAGTTCTTGCTTATTTTAAAGCTTATTTCTAAATATTCTTATGTTATTGTAAACTATATTGTTTTCTTAAACTTATATCTTCCAATTTTCTAGATATAGATATATAGTTTATAATTAGCCCTTGCATCATATAATTTTACTACATTCACATAAGAGCTCTAAATAATAATATTTGTAGATGTCATTGGATAGTATATTTACTCAATCAGGTCTTTTGTGAATAGAAACAATTTTACTTCTTCCTTTCCAATCTTGATGTTTTTATTACTTTATGGAATAAAATAGGATCTGGATTACAATGTTGAATAGCAGGCTGAGCATCCTCATCTCGTTTCTGATTTAGAGAGGAAAAACAGTGAATATTCTACCATTAGAGTTGATTTTAATAGTTTTTATTTACTAGTTAGATTAATTTAATTTCTCATTCTTGCATAATTTCAAATGGAAAAAAATCAATCAGACATACATGTTTCAGGGTCTGGGTGAGGATAGATATGTAGGCATATCAGAAAAGAGGTTGGCTGCACCTGATTATAATGAAAGAGTACCTAATTATAAACCAAAGCCATATTTAAATTTTCCATTGATTTATACCTTTTTTCTGCCTTAGTCTCATGTAGTCCATGGCAACCTACCATTGATTCCTTTGCAGTAATTTTTAGATCTTTTATTTTTTAAATATTTTTTAAAATTTATTTTCTTTATTTTATCAAATACATTTTTCTCTGCCCTCCCCCCACCGCCTTTCCCTGCCCCCTCCCCAATCCCTCCCTTAATCCTTCCCCTTTGGTTTTGCCCATGAGACCTTGCTACACATTCCCCGACCCTCCCATTCCCTTCCTTTTCCCCTGTACCCCCTTCTCTCCATCCCTCTTGTCTCTGTTCGTTTCTTTTCCTTTCAGTGTTGCTGGTCTTATTTTCCTTGCATCTTTGTATTGTTCGTTAGGTTCTGCTTATAGGTGAGATCATATGGTATTTGTCTTTTGCTCCCTGGCTTATTTTCTCTTAGCATAATGCTCTCTAGTTCCATCCATGCTGTCGCGAAGTTTAGTACTTCTTTTTTTCTTTCTGCTACATAGTATTCCATTGTGTAAATGTACCATAGTTTTTTGATCCAGTCATCTACTGATGGACATTTAGGTTGCTTCCAACACGTGGCTATTGTAAATTGTGCTGCTATGAACATTGGGGTGCATAGGTTCTTTTGAATTGGTGTTTTGGGATTCTTAGGGTATAGTCCAGCAGAGGAATCACTGGATCAAAAGGCAGTTCCATTTTCAGCTTTTTGAGGCAATTCCACACTGCTTTCCACAATGGCTGCACCAGTCTGCATTCCCACCAACAGTGTACTAGGGTTCCCTTTTCTCCACAGTCTCGCCAGCACCTGTTGTTTGTTGATCTGTTTATGACGGCCATTTTAATAGTTTTATCTGAACACACTTTATCCATTTGTGGAAGACATCTTTTATTCCTAGTTTTCTGAGTTTTTAATTATAAATGAATGATGCTTTTTTGGTCCAGAAAATCTTTTACATGTCTTGAGATGATAAGTTCGTATTTTGATATTTAGAGTGATTGCATTGGTTGATGTATATATGTGAAAAAACCTTATATTCCAGAGAGTAAACGTCAATGGTCATGATGTATTACCCATTTTATATATTGTTCAGTAAGGTTAGTTAATACGTTGTTAAGGAATTTTTTGTCTGTGTTAATGCAATTTATTGCTTTATAACATGTATTTCTGGTAATGTCTGAGAGGTTTGGGGTTACAGTTATTTATATTGGTCTCAAAAATGAGTTGAAATATCACTTTCCATCCTCTTGTTTTTGAAAAACTTATGTGCAAAATTTCTCCTTAAATTTTTCATTTAATTCATTGGCAAAATGGACTAGGCCTGTGCTTTTCTGTTTGATAATTAATTAACATAACAATTAAAGAGCTACCCATATTTTTATTATTTCATCATGTACCAGTTTTGATAAACTGAGTTTTACATGGAGCTCATCTATATCACTTAAGTTACTGAATTTTTTATCATGAAGTTGTTAATGATATTCCTCATTATTCTTCAAAATCTACATAGTTATAAATCCTGCATCAGTCCTAATATTGGTAATTTGTGGGTTTTTTTTTCTTTTCCTTCATCATTATTTCTAGGACTTAACTAGACATGTTAACTCATTTTAATAATCTTTTATAAAAAACCCAAATTTTAGAATTTTATATTTTCTCTAATTTTGTTCAGTCTTTCACTGATTTTGGCTTATAGCTCTATAATTTCCCCTCTTTTAATTTAGTTCAATATTTTTCTAATTTTAAAGCAGAGACTTAAAGCATTGATTTTAAACCTTTTCTAATTTAAGGAATTAAAGCTAAAAATTCTACTGTATGAACTACAAGTAATAACCCACAATTTTCAATGTATTATTGTTTAGTTGCTTCTTAAAATAAGTATACACTGTAATTTCTGTTTGACCACTGGCTGACTTTTCAAATACCTGTGTTGTTACATGGCATTGAGTTGTCTGAGCTGCCTGAAGACTCAATGAATGAGTGATGTGCACAATGTCCTATACTCTACCGCCCTGCTCAGCTCCTGTAGACTCATTTCAGTGACTCCTCTTATGGTGTCAGTCCATCTCATATTTGGTCTTCCCCTTTTCCTGATGCTTTCTATTTTTCCCCAGCATCCTTGTCTTTTTCAAAAAAAAAAAAAAACCAAAACAACCCTTCCTTCTCATGATATGCCTGGAGTAGGACAGTCTCAGTTCTGTTATTTTTGCCTCCAGCAATGTTTCAAGCTTAATTTTCTCTAGGACTCACTTGATTGTCTTTCTGGAAGTCCAAGGTATCTGTAAGAGCTCACCTCTACCGCCATATTTCAAATGAATCAATTTTTCTTCTACTGTCCAATTTCTGTGTATTTTCTATATAATTTTCTTATTGATTTATAATTCAATTGCTTGGTGATCAAAGAAAATGAACTAGAGATTCACAAGGAATTATTGGGCCATGTCTATGAAATAGTTTTTAAATCTCAAGTTTAAAAATATTGTTTCATAAACCTGAAGTATTTCATCTTCCAGAGCATTTAGAACAGAGAAGTTCATAACCATGGACATCAAAATTTCTTCAGGAAATGTTTTTGTATTTCTGTGTCTGTACAAGACCAATAATAAATCTATTTGTGTAATATAATGGGAAAATATAGAATAATATTTCTCTAATAAATTGTACTATTTGCCTCCATTATAAGTATATAAAAGGTAGACTGTGAAATTAACTTTGTGGAGACAAATATGCTCATATAGTACTAAAATAAATGAAAACTTATAAGTGGAAAATACTTTGTAACATAATTTTATTTCTCAGATTTTTAGAGAACAAAGGAAAAATTGAAATTCAGGTTAATATTGTGGTACACACTGACTCACAGAGACACACGCACACATACATTCATATACACACATGCCATGGAATGATCTGGATTTAGTTAAGTCCTGAAAATAATTTGAGGATCTGGCTTTACTTAAGTATAGAATTTTCAAAGTGTTGTCTCAATTAAAATCAATTGCAAGGAAATTTGGAGAATGAGGTGGGGAAATGAATTCAATCACGGCTTCACAATTTTTAAAATGTCTGTATTTTAGATATGAAAGGTTGATAAGATACTTTTCCTTATATTTTATTCCTGTTGTTCTAGCTCTGTTGAAATTTGCTTTAAAAGCAAAAACATATTCTCATCTCTGGTACTATGAGATGGGACTATAGTCTGGGACTATAATATTACATAATGATAGAGATCTGAGAATGCAATGCAATGTCTACTTGGTAGTGGCGAGTCCTTAGGCATAATAATGATTATTAAATACAGTGATTTTTGTATAAATTAATTGAAATCTTTCCCTCTTATTTTAATAGCCAAAAAGTAAACTTTGGGGCACATGATAATTACATTCCAGGTAAGATATAGTTCAATATATATTTAAAAAAATGTATGATTAATTTTAGGGACAAGCGATTATCCTCCATTCAAAGTGATAAAGCAATAGCTGTCATGGAATGTTATTAAAAATCAACTTTTCACTTGCCAAGGTACCTTTTCGACGGTCTCAATGAACATTTTCTAAAGATATTTTGGTTCTAAATCCAAAGAAGATTAAGCAAATATGTATAGAACCATGAAGGTGGACATTTACATGTTAGAAGTCATTCAATTAGATAATCTTACAATTCAAAGGCAGTGTAAAATAATTGGATAAACAATTGTTTATCCATGTCAGAAATGTCTTCTACTACAATTCTGATAGATTATATCAGGGTTTAAATTGGCTAAAAAATTCATTACTTGACAAGGCCAGTCAAACTTGTGTTGGAAGACTTCATACATCAAGTGGTTTTCCCTTATATATTGATCTGATATATACCTTTCATTCTGCATATTTTCTCATTGCTCCTGCTTCTGTCTTTAGGAAATGCACAGGACACGTCTATTTTCATTTACACACAGTATTACCACACATATTCAAACACAGTGCAGATATCTCTCTCACTTGTCTCATTGGTAAGCTAAATGTCTTTATTTCTATTATAGTTTGCAGGTAACTTTATACTCCCAGTCACAATTCTGTAGGTACTCCTTTTAAAAATATTTTTATTTATTTATTGTTTAGAGAGAGGGGAATGGAGGGTGAAAGAAAGGGAGAGAAACATCAATATGTGGTTGCCTCTCTCACACTCCCAACTGGGGACCTGGCCAGCAACCCAGGCATGTGCCCTGACTGGGAATCGAACTGGCAACCCTTTGGTTCGCAGGCCAGCACTCAATCCACTGAGCCACACCAGCCAGGATACAATTCTGTAGGTACTTTTTATTTGTTAATTTCTTATGTGCCACCTCTAACAATGAAGTTCTTAGGTATACAACATTTACTTTTGTAGCTTAGAAATTGATTATAAACTAAGGAAATCTAAAGCAGTGATTTTCAACCTTTTTCATATCATGGCACACATAAACTAATTACTAAAATTATGTCACACACCAAAAAATGTATTTTTTGCCTATCTGATAAAAAATAATTTTGATTTTGATTCATTCATACCTGACAGCCATTGTTGTGTTGGCAGCTGTCATTTTTTTATTTGACAATCTAAAGAGTCAATGCTCCTGACTAAATATGCAGGTATTGCATGTTTTAAAATTTCTTGCAGTACACCTGCTGTGGCACACTGCTTAAAAATGCTGCTCTAAAGAGTTTAGCATTTAGAGTCAATCCTATATTTACTGAACATTTTATAACAGGCACTGCACTAATTACTTTGAAGGCTGCAGAAGTAGTTACCATGTTTTTTGTTCTAATTATAACTGTATTCTAATCAAAAGAGTGTAAAGCAAAAATCTAGACTGGATTAGATAGAAAGACTAAGAGGAAGCAGTAAAATGGTTTATTTCCATTCATCTTACAGATTATATTAGTTTTACAATCACTACTTCATATAGTTTTCTGTAAAGGTAGGAAGAATAGAAAAAAATTTTTTGTTTTTTCATATTAATAGTAGAGAATTTCAAATATTGCCAAATAAATGAAGACATAATTTTAGTTATTTGTTTATTCATTTACATGATATATAACTAACTGCTCTATTAGTTTTGATGAAATACTATTTACTCTAAAGCGTATATTTATTTTCTTATTTTAGTCAGTGAATTAAGCAAAAAATCATGGAATCAGCAACACTTTTCCCTAATATTTCCCAAACCACAACGGCCAGGAAGAAAATTAAGATCAAGACCTTCCCAACTACAAGATAATACAGTTTCTGTGAGTATTAAGATCATATAATTTTCCAAGTTACAAACTTGTAAAATCTTGTATAGTTATATGTCTTGATAGATCATCACTGGCCAATGAGATTTCTGTGATGATGAAAATATTTTATTTTTTGTATGCCAATGCACCTGTTGAACAGAAAATGAGGCTAGTGTAACTAAGGAATTGAATTTTATATTTCAATTCAATTTAATTCACATGTGGCTCTTAAAATTCATATGACACAGTAAAGTTAAAGGTAATTCAAATTCTTCTACTTGGATAAAGTAGATGTATTTTATATGCATTTCCCAGTATAAAAATTTCTCCCTTATTTCACATTAACTATTTGCTTAGTAAACCTACATTATAGAAAATACGTAGGTTTACAATAATTTTGTAGGTTTACTACAAAAGCACAGAAATCTGTAGATCCTAATGCTACAGTTAGTATAAACTTTTATCTCCAACCTTTATCTTCAACATTCAAAAAATATTCCCCAGCTAGAGAAATCCACTTACTAGAATCATTATACTCGAAGTTTCAACACATCCTTTTTCCTGTAATTTAGAATTCAGGATTCTGAATTTGGAAGATAGGTATTTCCCAAGGTTTCTGATGTCATCATGGGATATAAAAATGTTTAAAGAATAGTTTTCACAAGATAAATGTATCATTGATCTTGTTTATTTTAGGACATGTACCCAATCTGTACTGATCCATGTTTCTTCTGTCTCCTAACATTTTTTTCTTGCCTTTTTCAATTTATTTTCCTACTACTTGTTAACATTCCTTCCAAAATTTCCTATATTTGCAATTAAATTTTTTATTTCAATCACAAGTTAAAAATAAAATGCACCATTCTGCACAAATTAATGTGCACTGAATGTTACTGTTTTCATTATTGCACTTTCCTATGTGATGATAATTTATATCTTGCCATACAAGATGATTTTTAAGCTTTTACTTTTAACCACAGTTAGCATTTTAAGTTCCAAAGACCTTAAATGTAACAACAGAGATCAGCATCTACTTGAACAGAAAACCAATAGATATTAGAAAATAATTAGTTTCTAAGTTAGTCTCAGAATGGAGACTAGGCAAGATGTTTCGAGAATCTCTAAACAGAGAGTCAAAAAAAAAATCCTTTTTCAGCTTGTGAAGAGAGTTTCTGATATGTCATTGGTAAGTGAAGGTCTGTATCAATTTTAACATACAATAATATAGGAGTTATGAAAGTACTCTAAATTGAAATTAGATATAAAATTAGACATGTATAACAATTAGTTGAAAAAGAATGAAATTAAAAAGCAAAAATAAACTATAAAATCTACAATTTATTTGCTATTAAAATCTAAAATCTTTTCATGGTTGAAGTTAAAATGTATTTGATATCTGGTAACAAAGTCTGTGTAACTCATACATATTACTTACTATTCTAACCAATATTTCAGAAATATAATGAAGACAAATTAAGGGGAGGTTCTAAACGACCATTATGGATGCACCGGTCTTTAATGCAAATTTCTGAAAGACCATCTGTTTATTTAGCTGCCAGGAGACAGCCTTCACATAAACCAGCTCATCTCCCACCGTCAAAGGCACAGCAACCTTTACCTACAACAATAAGTAAGGGAGCTAAGGAAGACAAGAAGGACAAATTAGGTTCAGAAGCTAAATCCACAGTCTCACAGGAGTCAAAAATTACCAAAAAAGATTCAAAGAAAGAGAAGGATTTAGAAACAGAAACAAAAGACAAGAAAAAAGGCAGTATAAAACTAGATGACAAAAAAGATAAGAGGGGTTCTAAAAAGGGCAAGGACTCAATTACAGTATCAGAAGCTGAAAAAGAAGACACACAGGAAGCCACTGTAAAAGATAAAGGCTCAGAGAAGAGCAAGGGATCCATTGTAGAATCTGGAGAGGAAAAAGGAGACACAAAGAAAGAATCCAAAAAAGATAAAGGTTCAAAGAAGAGCAAGGAATCAGTTGCAGAAACTGAAGATGAAAAAGGAGACACAAAGAAAGAGTCCAAAAAAGATAAAGGTTCAAAGAGGGGCAAGGGGTCAGCTGCAGAATCTGGAGATGCAACAAAAGATGCAAAAGAGGATAAGGATGGAAAAAAAGATACAAAGAAATCCAGTGAAAAAGGTGATGAGTCAAAGGGCAAGAAAGATGCCAAAAAAGATGCCAAGAAACATGCCAAAAAAGATTCTAAAGCAGACACTGACCCTGAATCTGCTGAGGCAAAAAAGAAGGCAAAAAAGGAAGCGAAGAAGAATGAAAAGAAAGAGGCAAAGAAGGAAGCAAAGAAGGAAGCAAAGAAGGATGCAAAGAAGGGGAAGTAGGCCTTGGATAACATCAAAAGCATATTATCTGAAAAAGTTTTAGAGTCTGAAACTGAATCTATGAGTGAAAAGGGGCAGGGTCTGAATATTTAATCAAATACTTTAAAAAATAGGGCAAAGAACAATACCAAGAAAGACCCAGAAAATCTTCATAAAAATATAAGATGTTAAGAAGAATTAACAGATGATTAGATGAAGGACTTGAAGCATACTTATGATGAATTTGGAGATATAAAGTGTTAAACAAAAGGTCCCTAGAAAGATTCAAATAATATACATGTAGGATGTAGAAGTTAATGATACTGAACGTAGCAGTATGGAAAAAAAATTGAGGAAGGCTTTGATACAATTTAAGAAGGCAGATGTTGAATCTATAGATTCAAGCAATTTGAAGTTGCATCCACAGATTTAAACATAGGAACCAACAGGGGTCATGAGAAAAAGCCAAACAAATTTCAGAATACTTTCAAACAAATATAAATTCAAATTAAAGGTAGTGTTCCTCAAAAAAAGAAAAGAAAAAATATTGTTACTTTCTTGTGAAACTATACCGCCATCTCTGAAGTACAAATTGCTGCAACCAGGTTCATGGATGTTGAATATTCCACCTCCACGCAAGTTAAACACATTTGGTAAGTTAGTTTTATTTTATTTTAAACCAAAATGGATTAAACAATTGAATAAATTTATAGGTTTAAATTGATTACATTTTAATAAAATCTCTGTAACCTGCTGATTAGGTTTTGACTACAATTTTACCAAGTGTAGGCTTTCTCATTATAAGAAATATTAAAGAATTTGGTAAAAACACCACTAAAATGAAGATTTATGAAAAGGTTAAGGGAAGTAGAATTATTTTTCATGAGGGAGAAGAGACTGGCCGATGGTATAACTCTAACAATTACTTATTATAACTTTTTTTTTTAAATAGAGAATTTTGGCCAACTTTTCTGTATATGATTATTGTCCAAATTACCAACTTGAGTAAATTTAAATGAGGCATATGAATAGATTCCTGATAAATTTCTAAATACATATAGACAACCAAATTAAGCAGCATTCAGAGTCTAACAGTGAAATATTTATATACTATTTATATATGAAAATAATTAACTTTATTTTTTTATTTACATTAAATTTTCTTGTAACTATGTCTCATTAATGTGAAAAAATTAAACATAACAAAAAAAATGCAAACCCTTGAACTTCCCACGTAATGATAATTAAATCTCTTCTGATTTAAAACAGTCTCTCAGATAAACTCAACATTGTTACAGAATTTCCTAAGTGATTTCCTTTCCTCCTTATCTTGCCACTATAAAATGTGGATTTTGCTTTCTATAAACAGTGAAGTATAATTGTTTTGCCTGCTCGTCAAACTTTGGCCTCTGTCCACCTACATCAACTACTCAAGGACTAATGGCTCTTGTTTCTCATGGTTTTCCAGGAGGCCCTACCTTGCTGACTGAGAGTCAGCCACAAGAGCTGTAATGGCAGAGTCAAATCCTGCCCCACCATTCTCCTCGCCCCATTTCAGGAGACTCCTCATTCTCCACCTGCTTATAAGATTCCTTGTTCAGATTTTCAAACTTTTCTGAAAATGTTAGCATCTCTCTGAGGATTTAGGGAATCATTTTAAATCTTCTTCCCCTTTCAAAAAAACAGCTCTTAAGATTCTTCTCCCACAGGATATTCAAAAGTCATGTTTTAGATTCAAATTTAACATAGTGAAAAAAAAATGAGTTTCTGCCTTTACATTCTACTGAAATGCACCAAAGTCACCAAGAACTTCCATGTAGCCAATTCCAATAGCAGTGTCTTTTTACTCTAGTCTCTTTTCTCTCTATATATTTCACTAAGTTATTCTATCCATTCCTATCCCTTTATATACCATTCTTATACTGTTGAATTCTATATTTTAAAGCCAGTACTGACTAATCCATCCAACTCCAAATTTGTATATCCAGATTGTAAATTAAAGCAACTACTTGACTGTCTTCCAGGCATCTCAAAATTAACATGTCACAATGAGAAGATACCCCTCTACCCAAACCTGGTTGCCCCAAGTTTTCGCCAGCCCAGTAAATGAAATTAACATCTAACCTGTGACTCAATCCAAAATTGGTGGGCCATTCATTATTTTTTTCTTCACTCTGCTTATCTTTTAGTAAGTTCTGCCTGACTACCGCCAAAATATTTGAAATATTCTATTTACTCCATATTTACCACTTCCATGCCAAAAGTCCAGTCAACCATTATATCTCACTTGGAAACCCCAAAAGCACCCTAAATGGAGGTTATGAGGTATGTTTATGGCATAGATTGGAGAGATGGTTTCACAGGTATATACTTATCTCAAACTCATCAAGTCATCAATTGTATATGTTAAATATATATGTCAAAAATACACACACAGATATATACACATACACACATGTATTGGTTTGGCCAAAAAGTTATATATTTTTTTCATAAGGTGGTTCTAGTTGCACTTATTTCTCTTCATTTGAAACAATTTTGTTAGGTTGTGCTGTGACAGCTGTCAAATCAGTGTACATTTAAAAAAATCAAAATTGGTGCAATTTTGTGTAGCCATTTTAATATAGAAGGTGTAAGAAAATACACAACATTTTTGGCATATTATTTTATTATTTCAAGAAAGGTAAAAATGCAAAAAAGTATTGTGCAGTGTATGGGGAAGGTGCTGTAACGGATCAGACATGTGTAAAGTGGTTTGCGTAGTTTTGTGCTCGAGATTTCTTACTGGATGATGTTTCATGTTCAGATATACCAGTTGAAGTGATAGTGATCAAATCGAGACATTAATTGATAATTGTCACCATGATACCATGCAGGAGATAGCTGACATACTGAAAATATTCAAGTCAATAAAGTTATTGGTGAAAATTAAAAGAAATATGCCTTTTATTTTACAGAAAAAGTCATACAGACTTTTTGACCAACCCAATATATACATACATACATGCACACATATATACACATGCACACGTACATACACATCACACAAAAGGAACCTCCAAACTGACTTTTATAGTGGCTACACCATTTTGCATTCCCACCAGCAATGACTTGGAGTTCTTGTTGCTTTCCATCCTCCCTAGCATTTGGTGTTGTCAGTGTTTTGGATATTGACCATTCTAATAGGAGTGTAGTGTGTCTTTGGTATTATATCTAAAAAGTCATCACCAAACCCAGGGTCGTCTAGATTTGCTCCTATGTTTTTTTCTAGGAGTTTTATACTTTTACATTTTATATTTAAGTCTGTGATCCATTTTGATTCAGACATATTTCATTGCCTGTTCTCCATTTCCCTTTAGCTAGCTACTTCTATTCTCTAACATGTTTTACTCTTCTATATGTTAACTGAAACAACCTTCTGTCTGCCTGAATGTATGCATGAATGTATTTACATATGCCTATCTAATCTCTAATCTTATTTATTGTCATATACCTGTCTATCTAATTTAAATCATTATCATATATTATCTGTGTCCCTATAAGAATAAAATCTCTACCTGAGAAAAATATTATATGACTTATTTATTGCTGTATTTTCAGAGTACAGAACTATTTCAAATACATAGTATATTCATATTGGCCACATGTCAGGTAAATAAATAAACACAATTTGGAGTACTTAGTGGAAATAATGACTTACTTGGAGTGAGCCACTCCAATATCCCAAATCAAAACACACCAGTCTTAACAAAGACAAACTGAAATAATTATCAATGTCCTTTGGAAAAGGGAAAGTTCCAAAAGAGGGGAATTTTGAGCCTTAGTGGCCATTTGGAAAGTATGGTATAGTGTTCTTTTATTTTAGTGTGATGAAATATGGGAATTTATAAACCATATAGTGATTTTAAGACTGTGTCTAAACAGGCTGGCAGAATTCTTTGTCCCTGACCAAATGATGTTTTATTATTAGTATTATTATTTTAATTCCCACCTGGGGATATTTTTCAATATTGATCTTAGAGAGAAAGGAATGGAGTGGAAGAGAGAGAGAGAGAGAGAGACAGAGAGAAGGGGATATGTTACCTCCTGCATGCTCCCCAAACCCAGGGATCAAATCCGTGACCTAGGCATGTTCCCTGACTGGGAATCGAATCTGCAACCTTCTGGTTTATGGGACAATGCTCCAACCAACTGAGCCACCCAGGCAGGGCCAATTATGTTTATTTTTTAATTAGTTAATTAATTAAATCTGTTGTTATTGAATAGATATATACATTTATTTTTATAAATTTAGTATTGAATTATTGCAGAGAAAATTATTATTAAATTATTGTATAGAATTTTAATAAAATTATATAGCTTATTATAGTTTCTCCTATAGAATTATTACTGTGAAATATTATTATACTCTTTATTATTATATATTTATCTTATTTTTATTGCACAGAATGATGACTACTCAAATTCCATTATTTGTAATCATGGCACAAGGAATTATGTTCTTTATTAAGGTGAGAACATGGATTTCTACATGTCATGTTGCCTTTGTTTTCTTCAGAAAAATTACGTTTTTTTTCAGATTTTTATAATTTGATAAATAGTATTTTTATATTATCCATGCTTGTAATAGCATTTGAAAAATACAGAAATACACAAAAAAAGAGTCAATTTATCACATTGCTCCATTCCCAACCCTAACTGAAAATTCATACATTTAAAAAAAACTTTCCAATTGTTTGTCAGCTTATTTGATTTCCTGTCATATTACTGAATTATAAAAACTTATTTATTGAAGAGACTCGATTTGCCTTTTTTTGAGGAAAGGAGAAAGGATAGAGGGCAAAATTATTCTTGGACCATAAAATAAGTTTTCTTTCTTTTATTTGAAATTCCTTCATCTCTAGAATGTGTTATTGAACTAGATGATGTAAAACTGAAGTTGGCTGGCCTAGGAGTAAAAAAGGTGAAGACTATAAAAAATGGGTATTCTCCTGAACTTCACTGCGTTAAGATATTCTCAA